GACGAAATTTGGTGCAAAATGATAATGACAATGTCCCCTTTAATTTGGGATCAAAATGAGGAGTTGAAACATCGTGGATCGCACTGGATTAGTGGTCGAAGGTTATGACTTGGCCGAATTTTTGCCCCTTCATGAAAAATCTGTTTCAAGACGATCAAAGGGCATCAAAATGTTCATGACAGATCAAGCACCGATTCTACAACGATCGATCACCCGAATCACCGATGTCAGCATCCGAAAAAGCTCTCGAAGTCTAGCAATGGCAAGATACCCCTCATGGAGGGATGGTTTTGTCATTTTCTCAAAAGAACTAGGGATATTTGGTAATTTTGTCGAACAAGGGATTTTATTTTAATTTCATTAAATTGTAATTTTCCACAATTTGGCTTAGTTTTGAGCATGCCACCCTTGTTTTGTGGTTGCTCTATATAAGTGAACTGAAGTCATTTGTAAACCAAAGTTGGGAAGCATAATAAAAATTGGGTTCTTGCGCCTTCAAGTCTTTGATTAGGCATGGTTTCTAACTTCAAAGGTGAGGAGAGAGAAAATTTTTGGAAGAGAGAAACTACCCCTTACAACCCAAGCCCATTCTCTCTCTCCCTCTTCCCTCTCTTCTTTCTTTCTCTCTCTACCCCTTTTTCTCTACACGCAAAACTCAAGGCCGCCCCAACCAGTGGCCCCATCTCCCCCACCTTCTCTTTTTGCTTATCTTCCCTATCCTCTCTTACACGCAACTCTCATCTCCTATTTTCTCTCTCAAATTCTCTCTCATACATGTAAGGCCTGCCCTTAAATCCTCCCTTATCCGCTACTAGAATTATTCTCTTCCTCTCCATCCGCTCATATCTCACAACTCTCCCATCCGTCCCTAGAGTCACTTTTCTCTCTTACACGTAAGGCCTGTCCCTAAATCCTCCCTTATCCGCTACTAGAATTACTCTCTTCCTTTCCATCCGCTCATATCTCACAACTCTCCCATCCGTCCTTAGAGTCACTTTTCTAACCGCCCCTATCTTGCAACACTCCCTATCCCCCCTTATCCCCTTTTCTCTCCATCCGCACCCTTATCCCCTAACTCCCTATCTGCCCTTTTTATGTCCCCTTTTTCACACACAAATACACCCAAGGCCACACCTGAGAGCGGCCCCAGCTTCCCCCTCACGTCTCCCTTTCCTTTGCCCCCTTTCAATCTCCCCTTTTCACATGCACGCCTAGGGCTGCAGCAACCTGCGGCCCCATCAATTTTACTTTGTTTCCCTCTCTCTATCTCGTCAAATATTCCAAGCCCGCACCTAGGCACAGGCCCGTCAGCTTCACTACGTCTTCCCATTCATTTTTTCCCCCTTATTGCATCCCCATTCCTTCTTTCCCCCTTATTGCGTCATAGAAGCCCAAGACCGCACCTGATAGCAGCCCGGGCTCTCTTCTCTCATCTTCCTTTCTCTTTGCATCTCTTCCCTATCCTCTCACAAATCCGGAGCCGCACCTGAGAGCAGCCTCAGCTTATCTTCTCCACACCATTATTTTCTCCCCCCTCTTAGTTTGTTCACGCTAATCCTAACCACTTTCTTCACACGTCCCTATTCTCATGCACACCCCTACTCTCAGGCACGCACCTAGTCCCTATCATCTCTCACCCATGTACGTGCCTAATCCATATCATCTCTCACTCTCATCACTCTCTCCAAATCTATTTCACTCTCTCTTCTCATAAATCTCTCAACTCAACCTCTCTCTTTAAATTTTCTCTCTTTCTCTCTCTAGATCTCACCTCTTCTCTCTATCCATCACGCCACCTTTCTTTCCTTATTTCTCTCTCAAATCTCATCTCTCCCTTCTTCAGGTACCTCGCTTATCTACAATCTTTATCACTCCCTAAATTTTCTCTTAGCTCTCTCCTTTCCTCCCAATCCCTTGAATGTCTCCCTCTCCCTCACGAACTTATCATCTCTCTCTACTCTACATGCCTCTTTCTCTCTTTCAAATATTTCTCTTAGCTCTCTCCTAGTTTGTTCATTCTCCCTCTCTCTATCCATCACGCCACCTTTCTCTCTCTATCTCTCTTTCACATGTCTTCTTCTCTCACGACCATCCCCCTTTTTTTCTCTCTTTCGTACACATAAATCCTAACACTCCCAATCCCTTGAATCTCTCCCTCTCTCTTACACGTACCTTCCTCTCTCCCAAATCTCATCTCTTACCCTCACGCCACTATTTTCTCACATTCTCATTATCCCATGCACCACAAATCCCTCAATTCTTCCAACCGTCTTTATCTCTCTCAACTCTCCTAATAAATCATCTATCTCTTTTAACTTTCCCAATCCGTTGAATTCATCTCTCTCCCTCATGTACCTCTCTCCTCTCCCTCACGTATTTCTCTCCTCTCCCTCACGTACTTCTCTCTCCTCTTCCTCAAACCACTTGTCTCTCATTCTTTCTCTCTCAAACCTCTCTTACACGTAAACCTCTCACACACTCACTCATACACTTGCATCACACACACTCAAACACTTACATTACACACGCTCACTCACACACTTACATTACACACTCACATTACACACTCTCACTCACACCCTCATACTCACACTTACACTCACAATCACACACACTCACACTAACACTCTCACAATCACACATACTTGTATCGCACACTCACAATCACAAACACTCACACTCTCACGCTCACACTAACATCACGCACACTCACACTCTCATGCTCACACTCACATCATGCACACTCACACCTCACCCTCACACACTCACTCACACACTTACACTCACAATCACACACACTCACACTCACACTCACACTCACACTCACACTCACACTCACACTCACACCCTCACACTCACATCACACACACTCACACTCTCACCCCACTCACACCACACACGCTCACACTCTCACCCTCACACTCACATCACACACTCGCGTACCACACACTCCTATCTCCACTCTTTTACGCACCCCTTTTACACACTTTCACTCGCATTTCACCCATCTGCACCTACACTATCTTGAATACGCATCCATCACCCTCTAACCCTTACTTTAGACTCCAAATTTACCATATTACCAATAGGAGGAGACCTCAAAAAGTATATCCCAAAGGCAATTTTTAGTGTGTGGATCCAAGTGCTGCGTAGGAAAGCGAGGGAGCCGAATTCAGAACACGCTGCAAAGACAGTCGGAGGGCTTTCGAGATGATCTAAGAGAGCAAATCGCCCGGACGTGTCCCCCGACCCAACACAGCAAGGCAGGTGCTCGAGCCCTTTTTTGTTGATTAAAATCTCTCTTTGTGTTGGTTCCTATCCGTACCACAAGGACACGTACGCACATGCTCGTGGGCCCCGCAGTTGTTTGAAGAAGGATTCCTCCGACCAGGTCACCCCTACATTCAGGACAACGAGAAATTAAGCCCGACCAGGCATATTTTCCAAGCAACGGCTATTTGTAAACCTTCTGAACATTCTAATCATTCCAAAGATGAAGCCACAATTCACAGTCTAGTTATCATGGTCATGGATATCAGGATATTCCATCCAAGGGGTCAATTCTGCTCCGAAATGTTGCTCCTCCACGATTAAACTTCGGAATGGCAATCCTTCCTATTGGGGATCGAAATCCTAAGTTATAAAGGATCCAGGTTCCCTAGCATTATAATATGATATAGCATGATAGTATAGTATGGCCATGTAGTACATTAAAGTAATATAGTATAGTATTATAGTCTAGCAGTGTGGTATAGTATTGTAGTATATAATATAGTAAAAATGATATAGTTACAGTTGTATGTCGTAAATAAATAGAGCAGTATTATAGTATAATAGAATATAGTACATGTTATGGTTTTGGAGTATAGTATAGCTGTATAGGAAAATGTTTATACAATACTGCAACCGTAAACTATAGAAGGAAGGTGCAACCTCAAAAATCCAGTACAAACTAGAGTTTCAAGTTGGAAAACCTTCCAATTGATCATGTCGACATCGAGATGTTTCGATATAAAGAAAAAAAGAATTTCAACTCGTATGAAAAATGCATCTTGTAACAAGTTATATGGACCATCTATTGTCTAGATTCTCAAGTGTTTATAGATCTACTCGATCTGCACCATTTTTTAAATCTTATATTTCATAATTAGAGTTGAACATGGATGTTCAAGCCATTTTAAAGTTTTCGACACTAGAACTACATCTTTTGGTAAAATGTAGAAATGCGCCTTACTTGTGCAATACAAGGTGAGCACCTTATACAAACCTCGATACAACTATACTACTGTACTACTATTATATAGCACTATGGTATCATCTAGTAATAAATATTATCCAACTATACTAGTTAAGTACTCTCAGAGGCCTCGATTTTTAGCCAAGCGGAGCTCGATCCTATGGGCGCAACGGATTGGGTCCAAGTAACTTGGACCCAGACCCATCCCGGACGCATGTCGGGTCCAAGTCATTTCATTTGGACTCAAACCCAAGTCCAAAAATAAAAACAATAAAATATTATTTTATACAATATTGAGCATATATACTTACACATGTTTTCTATGCTTTATACTCTGACGGGTCGATAGGGGTCCATGCCAGGCCCAAGTTCGGGACCAACCCGCTGGGCCCAAAACATGAACCCAGACAGACCTGATTTTGTCTGATTCGCCCCTGATCCCAGTAACTATGGTCATGGTTGATTGTGAACATTGGGATTATTCAGAACTGTCAATCTCTGGCATTTATTAGCCATCCATTTGTTGAATCCTCGAATTGCATACTCAAGGTCCAACTGGTGACCATTTCGAAGCACCCTAATCCTATGGAGAAAATCTTTCAATAATTTTCCTTTAACAAGCATCAAACATTCTTGTAACAAACGGTACCCCTCCCAGGAGTGGTACTTCAAGAAAACCCGGATAGGTCGCATTTCTCAAGAAAAACAAAAGAAGTGAAATGATGGGCTGAAAATTAATTGAATGTGATGTTTGATGATTCACCTCCTCAGGAGTCAAGGGGCACTTTCCAATAGCTCTCCTTTCTTCAGGAATAAGCCTTTTCTTGGCAAAGTTTAACTCGCGGTACTTTGACAATTTTTTCTGTTCTTCAGATGTAAAAATATCGTAGCACCTACAAAATTTTTAATTCCAAAGCTCAGGAAGTGAATATAGAACCATGAAAGCTTGTTTCATCAATCAATAACTAACATTACGATAAACGACAAATGGACAAAGAAAAAGAAATTCAGACATCATACCTCAACAGAACGTATTATCTATGAAAAGCAAGACTATAATGAAGCAAATGACAACAGCCAAGCCAATATCATCTGGAAGGTCTAAACTTGAGAACTACTAAAGAAAAACAAGTAGAGAATATCCGGTATGCATTAAACAGGTAAAAACAGATAAAAGTAGTGAACTAACTTTCCATTTACATGAATATGGAACTCAACAAAAACTGCCACCAGATGCATAGGCATTTATTGCACAGAGCTTGAAGGACATGGAGAACTGCAAAACTGTAACAGAGCAACAGAATACAAATACCACTTTTCTTAGTAGCAAGAATTTCTATGGTACCATTGTTGTATCCAAATGGATCGCTAGGAGGTTCCCTGACATATTTACAATAAAGGAGTATGAAATGAAGACCACATAATATACTATGCAATCATCCCTTATGTATGAAAGTTATTGGCACGGTCACAGAACCTGATGGCAGGATGGATGAAGGATGTGACCACTCGATGAGCATACCATGGATTAAGAATGCGTTGACACCCTATATGGATTTGAAATGTCTTTTATTAGAGATACCAGACAAGAGTAGAAAAGGAGACAAAACTCCTAGTATCAAACACTTGAAAACAGAAAAACTAATGAGCCAATTAATCCTACATTTACCCACTATGTGCACCACTATATTCACTACAAGATCATCTATTTCATCCACTTCCTTAAAGAATATAATGGCACTCCATAAAACCACATTTTGTTAATCTCAGCAAGAATTCCTTCTAACCTCCATGCGAATAGCGCATTACATATGCCCCATTTGATAACATTTAAAAGAACAATAATGCATGACTCTAAGAAATTGCATGCTAGGCTTAAGGTTTCCACTACAAGTTCACAAGCTTTAATTTCCATGTCGAAGCATTTAGCCGCTAAGAGTGCTTGGCTTTTAAAACCTCCCTTCACTACAGTGAATTAAACCCCCAAATCTGCAGGTCTGAAAGATAACTGATATGCAGCATATGCAACTACGTCAGGGTTCTGTTCCTGTTAACAGGTGAAAGTTTGACTTCAACTTGTTAAAGTAAGCATTTGCAGGTTAGACCATCATATATCATTATATTATTGATATAACAAACAGATAGCATTATAAAATATTGATGTCCCAAACATGATAGCTGGAGTCATTTCTTTCATGTAAAACTCAGCATTGCTTAGAGCACATTGAGATACTTTTCTTTCTTCAAAACTTTTTAAAATCTTGTTGGGTATATTTTTCTTCATCGAAATGAAAGAAAGAGATCCAACATGATAGAGAACTGTTATAAAGATCAGTGAAGCAACTGTTACAAAGGTCAATAAATGCAATAGCATAAAAACTCATAGACCGACATTCTTCCTAATTATATAAGCCATTCTATCAGCAAGTAAATTAGCCTCCACAGGAAAGCAAACAATTTGTCTAATGCATAAGTTTAGACTGAGATTATTTATTTTCGTGGAGATCCATCCAGCCTCCCACAAAAAGAGAAACCCCTCAGACTTGATCATAATTAAGGGATCATCCCGATAGACATGCAAAGTCCTTTACCCAACTTCCCAAGCCAACCGCATATTCCATCAACCACTGCCCTTGTATTACTATTGCATTTATGTAATTGCGTTTCTTATCAACATTCCAACGACAACAAGGTTGCCACTATCTTTTCATCACTCCATCAAAATTAAGTATAATGACATGTATTTGCAGTAAGGAATCGGGGTTGGGATTGATAAGTTGGACATTGACAATTGCAATGTTACAGCCCAAGTTCAATTCCCATTGCTGAACTATCCAAAAAAAGAAGACATTACTAGGAGCTGGCACCCACACACAAAAATCAGATCATGCAGCTTCATACAACCCAAAACCATTTCAAGTCACGAGGTCCCCTGTTTCAACATTATCCAGAAATGGTTCCTATGCAGACATAAAATTCACATCTTGTCGGATGATGTCAAACAACTTTCCTAGACTTTACAGTCTTCCTCATACGATAATCATGTTTCAGCCCTTCCAAATCTCAGATGCAAGAACCTTGTACTAAGGATAGCACCCAGTCTAGAACCTCAATCCTCCCCTCATTTCCTAGTTCCTTCCTATCTTAAATTTCTTAAATACCAACATTCTCCTATTCCTACTTTGTTTCCTCCCTCTTTCTACTGTATTGTGCAACCATGTTTCCAATGTGCCAACATGGACCTCAAAAACCAACCACCATTAGGATGATAAACTTCCACTCCATCAGCTCATCCGAATCCTTTATCAAAAAGCGTAAGGTGATAAGTATCACCAAATAACAATCAAAGAAATTACAAATACCTAACTATAGTATCCATCTAGAGTGTGCATAGCCAGCAACTGATCCACCATTTCCTCCATTTAATTACAAAGAATACACATATTTTCCACTATCACCTTCAAAATAAATAAAAGTATATACATTTTCTATTATCATATACAAGAGTAAAAATTTCATCCTAATAGCCTTACCATAAAACAGCAACCATCCAAGGAATAGCTACCCCCAGAACACCAATGGAGTAGGAAAAACATCCCAAATAGCGCCACAATGATTGCCAAATGCCTCCAACCCCCACACAATCTTTTTCTTTTCTTTTTTGACAAGGTTACATAGGAATGGAACTTGATACGTTGTGCTATGAAAACCAAACTTCTACCGTCTTGAACCAAACCAGATTCCTCTCCCACACATTCTTATCCTACCTAAATTCTCTCCCGACCCAGCTAATTCTTCTCGCCCTTATTTATGAAAGACCTTTGGGGTTGGGCATCCAACAAATACCCTGAAGTCATGGAAACACGACTCCACCTTACACTCAGTGATGCAGGGGTAGCAACACCAAGTTCAAGGAAGGTACTTCAACACCTAGACCAACAACTATTTGCCAGAGGCCAAACAGATTCCTGTTTTCCACCAATCCTTAGACTACTTAATCATGTTACTTTCCACAACATTAAGCATTTGTTGCCGCATAATACCCGATTTCTGCACCTTCTGTGTATATCCATTGGTTAAAGGAGTTAAGCAGATGGGGGTGGGCGGACCCTTTTCTTGGGTGAATCAAGCAGCCTGGTACCTAGGCTTTGGAGAAGCCTTAAGGGTGGCGTGATTTCTGCTTTGTGATATATCATATGCCTCGTCTTTGTTCTAATTACTCATCAAGATAAGATTGTTTGGACTTGGGACAAGATTGTGAGGGTCTTCCAATCAGAAATCGTTTTCATATATATTGCAGTGGAGTGTTGATGGGAGGTCCCCAGCTCTCCTTAAAGGAGGTATATCAGCTCGGGGGTGCTTTCAGTCAGCTAGAAATACTCAGAGAGGCCCTTACTGCTTATAGGGCTCCAGTTTCCCAACTACACTAATGTTAGACATTTGAACTGATAACTGCTAACCATCTCCTGATGAGCTGTCCAGTGTAGCCCGGCATTTTTAGGACTTGTTTGGAGCAATTTGGATTTCGTGCAATGTCATCTTCTGTGGAATGCCTCATTTTAGTATTTGACACTTCTAGAAGAAGTACCATACAACACAGAAGGGTACTAAATAGTAGAGAAAACCATGTTTCAAATGTAGTGACATTCAAAAGTTAAATACAATGCACGTGAAATTTATCAAGGTGTTAAAATAGTATTCATAAAGACTGACAGAATTTCATTATGTAGCTTTTTGATATAATACAATAGAAACCACAAACCATGATTCTTGAGGAACATGAAACATCGTGAGTGTCAACTGCATGTCAGACACTGACACAAAGGAACAGCATGACTCTTGAGTAAGTAGATATATTGAAGAATCAACTGCATGTGAAACATTGACACAAATGGATGAAGTAGCAGGAACATACTGCACAGTAATGCATGCATTCCCCCTATTCCAACATACACATCATCAAACATTTATAACTGAAAGCACCCAAATCTCACATGTATAAGCAGGAAAATAGGTGTCAGAATAGTTTATTACCCAGCAAAAGCAAGCATGTCCATCTCAAAACGAAGGTGAATCGCCATGAAGTGGCCTTGAGCACGAAGACGGCTAACAATCGTGCTGCTTAGTTTCATTATATGTGGCTTAAACCGGAGGGCATGGTAATTCACTCTGCATCTCAGCCTTTGATATTCCGGATCATCAATCTCTTCCACAAGCCGGTGAGAAAAGGGAGTGAGGTAGATAGCACCATGCTCCTTCATCTTTTCCAACGCGACAGTCGTGTACCAAGTTGGAGGAGCATCTCTAGGAGGACGAAGCTAAAGCACATAATGAATGTGTGATATTCTTAGACTGAATTATGTAAATTATCATTTCCAAATGAATTCATGCAATAAAAGTTGAATAACTACCTGTAAAGCTTTCATCTTTTTTTTTTTCTTCCCAGCACTTGGGATTTCTGGAAGACTTGCCACAACTCGTACGTCATTCTTCAGAGATTTAATGAAATGATCAACATCATATATACCTGGAAATCCACTGAATGAAAGAAAACTATTAACAATCAATATAAACAGGATTCTCTACTTGCAAAGAAAATAAAGCAAACATCAGAAGAAAATAAAACCCCAATGTAAGCAGAAGGTTAATAAATGTTAAATATTTGTACGATCATAGTCCTTGACAACTCCTTCGAATTATATCTAAGGTCATACTTGTTTACCACTTCCAAAATAGAAGATATATTACATTATCTGGAGAGAAGATGGTAACTGTGCAATGCATACCTATCATCATGCCAGAAGGAATTGGTATCCAGCTCTGGTAGAACAAGTGTAGCATTCATGATCCGAGCAGCAAGAACAGCATTACATATCTACAAGAATGAGCAAGAGTTCTCAAATTTCTTTTTCGTTTATAATTAAAAATTTTAACTTTATATGAAGAACATAAATAACAGTGGTATCTCGTTCTTCTGATAAATGTTATTAGATTATCAGTGACTCAGCTAAATCTAAAGAAACGATTCCCTTTTATTGACAATTGAAATTAAAACAACATACAACAAAGTACACGTGAAATCATTGTACAAAAAAGCTTCTCTTTTCGGTAATCTTCATTTTGTCCTTTTCTGTTATTACATACAACAGAATATGAAATGCATGACAAAAAAAGCAGTTACAATGTTTTCCTTCAGTCAGGCAACTATATAATGACCGAACCATATTAAAAAATTCTGCTGCCGATTGTGAAACAAGAAATGGAAAAACAAACAAACATACAAACACACATGCAAGCACGCATGCACACACACGTGCACGAGTGCGCGCACACATACACAAACAAACTGATTTAACTCTATTTGGCGGCATTATAAAAAACAAATGCAAATATAGCATATCATCATCATCATCGTTATCATAGCCTTTTCCCAATTAATTGAAGTCGACTATAAGAATCCTGGTTCGCCATTCGCCTCTGTTTAAACTCATACCCTCTATGAGTTCATAAGTCCCCGTACATTTTCAGACTACTTCCAACCACGTCCTTTTGGGCGTACCCCTGCCCTTTTCAATCTTTCCACTTGAACTAACTCGCACCTCCTAACAGGTGTTGTACTGAGTCGACGCCACACATGGGCAACCCACTCAAGTCTACTCTCTCTCATCTTATCGCTTATTGGTGCCACACCTAAACTTTCCTGAATGGATTCATTTCGGATTCTATCCCTTCTTGCCTTGCCACTCATCCTTCTCAGCATCCTCATCCCCACTACACTCATTTTATGAGTATATTGTTTTTTGTCTGCCCAAGATTCCACCCCAAAAACAAAGCTGGTCTTATAGATGTCATATAGAACTTACCCTTCAGCTTCATTGGTATACGGCGATCACATAACATTCCAGTTGCACATCTCCACTTCACCCATCCAGCTCTAATTCTCTGGGTGGCATCTTCTTCAATCTCTCTATTTTCCGGATTCGACCCAAGGTATCAAAAGTGCGGTCCTTTTTGTACTTCCTGGCTCTACTCCTATTATTACTAAACAAGCATTCCATATCCTATTATTTAGTCCGGCTAATTTTAAAACCTCCAAAGTTCTAACTTTGTGTTGACGTTGTTTTGAGTCTCATCAATCAAAACTATGTCATCCGCAAACAACATGCACCACGGTACCTCATCCTGCAGGTGCCTAGTTAAGTCGTCCATAACTAAGACAAAGAGGTACGGGCTCAATGTTGACCCTTGATATAGACCTATTGTCATGAAAACTCACTCGTCTCTCCACTAGTTGTTTGCACACTAGTTAGCGCTCCATGGCAAACTTGTCTTTCAACTCTCTCCCTTCCCAGGATTATGTTTGGTTAAAAAGACATTTATCAAAGTCTGAAATCAGAAAGGTAGTTGTTGAGTTAACATGGGACAAGGCCCCTTGCCCCAAAGACTTACCACTTGCCATCTTCCACAAGTTTTGGAACTCTGTCTCTCATGACATTGTAGCCTTCTTTAACGGATTCTACCTGAAGGATCAGATCCATAGAGGCATCAACTTCACCTTCCTTTCTCTAGTGTCAAAGGCCAATTGAGTGGACAAATTAAAACATTTTTGAACCTTGAGCCTCCTGAATTCATCTTAAAAGATCTCAACCAAGGTCCAAACCACCAGACTTAAGACAGTTCTTGGCAAGGTCACCTCCAAATTTCAATTGGTCTTTGTGGCCAACAATAGATCCTTGATGGCGCTCTTCTGGCTAGCAAGGCCATACATTCCAAGTACCTAGGAACACAGCATAGTGTTTAAGTTGGATGGAGAAAAGGCCTGTGACCATGTTGATAGGTCAATTTGACAAAGTCAGGTTTAGGATGGGACTTGCATCGCGTTGGAGGATGTCGATTAGGGTTCTGTATCGAGTACTAAGTTTTACGACCTCAAGGGTTTTGTGTTAAGGGGAACCCCTATCCCTTTTCCTCTTCACAATAATGAATGAGCCTTTTTAAAGATCCACCACAAGACTCCACGATCTAGGTTGTCTAACTGGCTTTAGGACCCATAGAGCTGAGCCCGAGATCTACGAACTCCTATATGCAAATGACACCATCATCTTCTACAATGAATGTCCCCCTTTTGCATAATCTTCATTTGTTCCTTCGAAGCTTCAAGTTAACACCAAGGATAAGGGTTTACATGTCTTTATCAAAAACAAAAAACAAAAATAAATAAATAAAAAAGGCTAACATGTCCAAGACTAAAATGATAAGCTTTAGAGTGGCCATTGGGGAGGTCCAAGCATTGGCTATTGGCATTGTGGCAGTGTTTTAAAACCCGCCGATTGCCAAGCTCAATGACCAATCCAAACAATGAATAGATGGGGATGGAACCAGCTCTGGTAGTGTTCTAAAACCTGGCAATCCAGATCACAACTGCCGATTCGGATTGAGAATGGGTTGGGACAGAACCGGATCTAGGAAGGTATAGATGTCTCCCCCACCCCCCCAGCTTATGTGATGCATCCTTAGTTCCCCCCAAACCCTTATTTATTTTTTATTTTATTATTTATTTGTACTACATTATGTATTGTCGGTTTGGACCGATTTAGATAGATCCAGATCGACGATCCAACAATCCATCACAGATCTATGGGGTGGACGATCCACCTCTCCAATCTGGGTTTTAAAACACTATGTTTCGGGATGATAGGGGTTCCGGCCACCTTCCCCCCTAAACCCACTTTTCTTTTCTTTTTTTCTTTTTTTCTTTTTTTTTTTTAAGTTTATCTAACATTTTCTTAGGATCCCCAAAAACCCCCTTTTCTTAAATTATTTGTCATATTTTACTAGATCACCCGTTCGAACCTATCTGGACCGTTGACATGGATCTATAGGGTGAACGATCCACCCCACCAATCCGGGTTTGGAACCCTAGACTGTGGTAATGCTTACCCTTGTGTACAGGAAAACCAAGGAAGCACATCGAATTTAGTCAAATAAAAGTTCAATAGGTGGCTTATGTCTACTTTCTTTAGGAATGAGGATTACACTAATTAGAGAAATTCTAGTCGATGTTCTTATCTACAAGTCCCCATTCCATATGCCTTTGTCTGTGCCCTCCATGCTTGAAGGCCTTCTGAGAATTCCTCTATTCAAGATCAGACACCAGCCATAACATCCATCACCTCATTAGGTGCGAAAAGGTGAGCCGCCAAAAAAAGCCAGTGGCCTTGGGATTAGAGGACATAAGGAGAATAATTTGGTGGTGGACCTTTGCAGTAGATGACACCCAACTGTGGAAGGAGGCAATCAAGGCAAAATATGACACAAAAGACTTTGGTTGGCTCCCCAGATATGTTCATCTGCCTCAAGGGCTTGGAACAAAATGAGTAAGTGTAGAAATGCCTTCATAAGTATTCTTGGATTCAAAGTTGAAGGGGGCAATAGGATTGGATCCTAGAATGTTCTCTAGGTTAGGGACCAGAACCTAGGGGCTACATGACCGGGTCATTTTTCAGTAGCCCTCACTGAGGACAATATCATTGCAGATTCAATAGAAATGAGAAGGAAACGCGTTATTTAGTCACTGGTGTTCAAGAGGGCCCTCTCGAACTCTAAATGTGGTCAACTTGTTGCCCTCCTTAGTGCTCTCAAAGGGCTTTACATCAACTTCGTGGGTTCTAACTGACTCGTTAGGTCCCCTACCACTTCAGAAAACTTCAAGGTCGCACCCTTCTATGCAACCCTTAAACCCGCTCTTAACTCATCATCTCCCACTTTTCAAAAATTTTGGTGGATCATGGCTCAAGGGAGGGCACTTACAAGGGGCCAACTCCAAAAGAGAGGCTTTCAACCACCAAATAGATGTGTTATGTGCCTTCAAGCAAAGAAGACTATCGATCACCTATTTCCTTTGGGTCATCGCTCAATCAGCCGTGTTGCTCCTCGTTGTGTTTACGTCCCCACCTTTGCCTAACATTGGTTGATTTTTTGGGTTGCCTCGGTTTTTTGCCTCTGTTGGGTGGTGTGGAAAGATAGGCAAAGGTATATCTTCTACAATTTACACCATCCCTCTCAACCTCTCCTCAACCACATCAAAGTGACTACCATCTTTTGGGCCAAATGACCGTCACAATGCAGCAACTTGGGGAATGCTGCCTTCCCAAGTAAACGGTAAAATATCGCACATCTTCCCCAAAGGTCTCAGCCTATCAACGATATCCGTTCCCAATCTGCCCCCCCGCCCCCCCCCCCCCCCTCGCTCCGTTTGTTCTCTTCAAGGGTCTCTTAACTGTTGACCAGTGCTCCCTCAATAATCCCAGCCCTTTGGGTTTTGGGAGTAGATTGGCCAACAATGAGGGAGACTACTCGGCTAAATCGGTCATACAAAATCAACTATGGCCAAGTTAGTAGCCATCTTGGAAGGCCTCAAGCATTCCCTTTCATTCCTGCTTTGGAGAGATTTATTGTATAGAGCGAAATTAGAGTCTGATTTCTTGAGCTGCGAAGGAAACCGGACACCCTTGGACATTAGCTTGTTTATTCAACCTTATCCATATGTTCATTAGGGAGGCTCATATCACTTTCAGCCATATACCAAAGGAAGCCAATATTGTCGCCGACCTTTTAGCTAAGGCCAATGGCAGCCTATTGTCAATCCACTCCACACCCTAACTTAGTTCCTTTCTTTCAAAATTATGCACCTTTCCTCTACTCTTCTCTTTCTCACTCCTCTCTTTTCTCTGCCTTCTATACATTCTCTCTCCTCTCACAATATATCTCTCTTCTATCTGACATAGCTCCACTTCTTGCGCATGTTCTCTTTCTTTTTCTCCTTCCTTTCATCTTTTCTCTCCTCTCCATGTTTTTCTTCTTTCTACACCCCCTCCCCCCCCCTTTCAATTATGCTTTCCCCTTTCATCCTGCTTTATCTCTTCCACAACTTTGTTATAGACTGTGTGGTTTGTAAGTAGCCAGTTTCTCTCTATTCTTCTTATTCTCCTCCTTCTTCTCTCTCTCTCTCTCTCTCTCTCTCTCCCCCCCACCCCACCCCCCCCCCCACATGCACGCCTTTTGGTATTAGAGCTCCGGGTATGTGGGTAGCCACATTGGGGATTTTGTAAAATATAATTACTATTAATATAGTCAACCTATTCCTCAAAAATATATGTTAACTGTATAAACGAAACATGATATGATTTCTTACAAATTCTATATTCTTACTCTTAGTTGTATTTATTGGTGACATGATTTGACAACATCATCATCATAGCCTTTTCCTAATTAATTGGGGTCGGCTACACGAATCCTGGTCTGTCATTCTGCTCTATTAAAGGTCATACCCTCAGTGAGGTCATAAGTCCCCATATCTTTTCGAACTACTTCCAACCACGTCCTTTGGGGCCTACCCCTTGCCCTTTTAAGTCCTTCCACTTGAACTAACTCACACTTCCTAACAGGTGTTGTACTTGATCGGTGCCACACATGGCCAACCCACCTAAGTCTACTCTCTCTCTCATTTAAGTCCCCTTCTTAAAAGGTCCTCTCTCCATTTAGTATGTCTTGGACTATTTTATCTATGTCCTCCCAAAATTGCCTCTTAATTTTATCATCTGATCCTATTATGGTGCATAAGCACTACAGTTAATCATCTCCTTCCCTAATAAAAGTTTAATTAAGCCTATCACCTATTCTTTTGACATTAACTACTTTATCTTTTAAATTTGTTTAATATTATGCTTACGCCATTTCTATTATTATCCTTTCATGTATACCAAAGTTTATACCCATCTATTTCTTTAGTTTTTTCTCCTTTCCATTTAGTTTCATGTAGACAAGCTATATGTACTCTGCTTCGTCTCATTGTATCCATTAATTCCATACTCTTACTTGTAACCATTCCTACATACCATGTGGCTAGACGAATCCTATTCTCTTAGACTAGCTTCTTTTCCCGCTTTCATCCAGACTGTCGTGGGAACCCTTGCCTATTTTTCACTACATTCGGGCGGCGCTACGATGCGTCGCTTCTGGGGAACGTCCTAGCTAATCCTTGCTTATTTCTCACTGTACCAGGGGTCCGGTACAACGCATCGCTTCTAAGGAAGGCCTAGCTACCCCTTGCTCACTTCTCACTGTACACAAGTCCGGTACAGCGTGTCGCTTCTACGGAACGCCCTAGCATAAGCAAATACTGTAAGTTCAGGATTCATGATAAGTTTTGGCATAATTTTACGTTGGCTACCTACCTAACACAACCCAGCCCCTTTACCCAGGTATGGGATGGGTCAAGGGAAAGTTTGAGGTCATTACCCTTCCTAGACCAAGTGACATGATTTGACATCAGGTGTCTAATTCCACACAAGATCTAAGAAAGTGCTACTCATAATAAAACGATTTAAGAAGCAAGAATGCACATTTCCTGCTCAGGGCCTAACAAATCATAAGCATATGTATGTTGTAGTGCATATTACAAAATAAAAACACAGGTAGGGAGCTAGTTTCACATCTAAGTTTCATATAGTAACCCCACCCTCTCTGTCAGTATAACAGGGTTAGCTTTCTTAATTTAATATCCAAGCATGGTCTTTATAGACCGTGAGATCTCTTTTCAAAACATAGTCCTTTAATATCATATTAATCAAAATTTTATCTCATCCACATTTGGTACACTTCCACATATTTCATGTCCACTCTTTGTTTTCCTCCCTTCAACCTGATCCTAAAGGGTCTGATAGCCTACCAGACTAATTTCACAGTCCCTCACTTTCTGTTTAACTCATCCTCCACAACATTCATGTGGTTGGTAACATTCTTATGTACCCTCTAAGATCCTATAAGCATTCATTGCTTCAAGCATGTTTATTCTACATAAGCCATCCATTCCCATTATCAATAAACAAAACATTCCTTGCCACTCTGTACAAAACTACCCCAACCCCCCACCCTCAGCCACAAAAATAAAAAATAAAAACGAAGGAAGTCAGATTCGCTGTGATTTACTTAATCAGCGCTACCATGGGAGCGCTAATCCCCATTAGAACCTAAACTTTCTCCAAACAAAAGTAATCATCTCACACATAACTATGAAACTTTGTTAGCATCTTATAAGAGCTACAAGAAATACCAGGTTCTCCCCCCTGACATCCTTGTTTTCCTCTTTCGCTTATCCACATAATGTTCCTCTGCATGTGAACTATTCACCATTAGCTCTTTTGACTAAAGTTCGTTGATGTGCGCAGCTTCGTTATGCATAAACGCCAATTCAACATCAGCCAAGATTTTTGTTGGGCATGCGTGAAGAAAAAATGATTGCACAAAGTTAGGGCATGAACCAATTAATCAAGTCCTTGAAACACTACAAGGCGGAAATATCCTAGCAGAAACATCATAACATAGAGGAACTAGATAAATGTAGTCCAACAGTGGGACACAGTTATAAAGAAGTACAAAATAAATACAGCATCCACGTATGTTAAGTCAATTAATCTTGTCCAAACAACAGGGATAAAATAGTCGGATGATATAAAATAAACATAGTACCCAGGCCATTGAATGGTACAAGAATGACAATAATGTCTTTGTATCTAACATGTCAAAAGAAGCTCGATAACATGATGGGAAGGGAGTAGCAAAGACATTTCCATGTAGAACAAATTTAATATATCTTGTAACACTCATGGAAAGCAGAATTGGAGCGAGAAAAGAGCTAATCGGTTTACAATATTCGATTACTTCATACATAGCAAGATAGAAAAACGAACCGCACTACGTTGTTGATTTAGGCCACCGTTGCAGCGAACCAACAAGTATCCATTGCTCTCAGTTGGAGGAGCTGCCAAAATGAAACAAACGGCATTTAACAATAAGAACTAGTCTGCGGTAGTTCTCCCGATGAGCTAAAATCGTCAAAAGTAACTCCAATTGAGTATAACCTACTTAAAAAATCAGAACGTTGTAATTTTAAAAAATCTATATTTCAAAAACAATTTATTTCAAAAAAAATTGATGAGAACATTGTATGTTTTAAAATAAGTCACTATAAATTACATATGAAGTGCCAATCAAAAAAAAAAACTACATACATGGCCAGTTGGACCTTGGTGCAGATGATGACCGCCAACCACCTGATGAAGCAGTTACCCAAAGCTTACCCACATCAATCTTCTACAAGATCATGGAAAAGAAACATGAGATTTGTGAACAAATTAATGCTTGTAGGAATCCAGGGAAAAGCAATATTGTCCAATACAGTATCAAGTGTAAATACTTTCTTTTTTAGCAGTGGATGGCAAATCACAAAGAACTAGCATTTGCATGCCCTATTGTAGATTATGAATCAAAGGTAACAGAGAATGCTATCCTGGACACTCAAGCACACAAATGATTGTCACACATTCCTCTTTTCTGTTTCTTAAAAAAAAAAAAAAACTATAGCTTGTGCAACACTGTAAGCATAATGGATTGACTTTTTATTTTTCTTTTTTGCTTTTGATCCATGACAAAAAATGTTATGATGAATAATAAAGCAGTAAAGTCAGCAACACTGGAAAAGGGTAAAAGTAAATGAAAAGAAGAGAGGGAGAGAGGGCGAGAGAGGAGGGGGGGGGAGGGGGAAGGGAGAGAAGTATTGCAAAAGATAGGAGAGAAGGATGCGAAAGGTAACATCCCCAACAAACGAAAAATGACCTGCTCCTATAGCACCACTAGACCCTCCCTATCCGCCCCATTCATTCGCCAGCCTATCTGCCTCTTCATTAGCACCACAAAGGACCATCACATAAATTAGAAAACCCCCATGAAAAAAGTCAATAACCACTATCGAACCAGTAGCTGATTCCGTGCCCCTCTGATGACATTAAAGCAATCACCCCACACAAGAATCCCGGTTAACAGACTCACCAATAAACACCTACAGAAAATGAAAGGTCTAGAACTGCCATGTATTAGCCAAGTGAATGAATGTGTTTTCCGTAAAGCACTCATCCTCAGCAAATATTAATCCATCCAAAAGAAAGCAAAGATCTAGGGATTATGATAACGAAAACAAAGAGGAGTGTGTTAATAATTCTACTAGGTCTGAGTCATACAATAAAAGGGGTGTGGTATGTTAGAAGTGCAGAAAACCTGCACACATTTGTAGAAACTGTAGTGCCAAGAGAATGCCACCAAAGCAAAACCCTCATAATATAAGAAGTTTACTTGTCTGTGATTTGAATCAGTTGTAGCTAATGCCAAGGACTCATCTTGGTATTTTTTGTGGTTCTATAGCTCATTTGTCAAACTCCAAGGATGGTCTTTAATCTTTGAGGTCCATTCTATACAGGGAATGACATTTGTTATGGGGCCAACCAAAAGACTGATGATAGTCTTCCTCACGGCAAGCCAATAGTCCTCAGAGATATTATTTGTGAGGAAGAATCTTAATTGTGTCCAGGCTTTGACATGCCAAGTTTTTCGCCCCTTTCTTTCAAAGATCAGCAAAGAATCTTATCAGTGTCTAGGCTTCACATGCCAAGTTTTTCACCGTTTTCCTTTGAAAGATCAGCAAAGGTTGGGACCGGTTCTTTGTGTGGTGTAGTGGTTATCTCCGGTCGTCGTTGTAATGGACTTTTTGAAGTTAGTATCATATCAACCACACCGTGGCACTCACATTGGCATCAGAACTAATGGCCCTTTAAAGACCACAAGTCCAACACATCAAACACGATAACTCGAGCTCTAATTTCTCAAATTAGGAAACACTAGAAGGGACAGTAATTTGATCCACCAGGGGATGAGAACTAGTAACATCCAAAGTCAGAATATTCATTCTCATGCTCCACAATTCAATAAGAGAAACATAAGTTTTCTTGAAGACTCTAGGAAGCTCAAACACCAATGGCAACACATTAATTCCCACAAAGAGATGGTGGCAGTGAAATGGATTCATGTTGATGAAATGGAGTACACTGAATTACATTATAGAAAAAAGAGAAAAATTAGAAGAAAGAAACCAAAAGGGTACTAATCCATCAAAAGGAGTTGAAAACTCTTGATCAAACAAGAATATATTGCTAGTATCATGTGTATCACAACAAAATAATGCGGATTACACACAATGGCAATGCTCTACAAAGTTTTCTATAAGAATACATGAACACAGCAATGCATACACAAAAAGAAAATATCTTCAATGAGTCCACATAAAAGACATGAAAAGTCTTGCCTCTGAATAATAGATGGAGCCATTGTCTCCGATTCTTGAGAAGAGCAAAACAGAGCAGAGCAGGAGCACCAGCAAAGCAACAGATAATTGGCCAGCTAAGGCCTTCATTCCCCCACTGAGCTGCTTAATCTGCCTGTGACCCACTCTCCTTCCTAGCATCTTCCTTGCCCTAAAACCCCAACACATAACACATAAGAAGAAAATGACAAGAGATAGATACATATATACATACAAAAAGAGATAGATAGATACATACATATATATATATATATATAT